GAAAATGGAAATAAATACTCCCGAGTTGCCTCTCGGTTAGCCGCCCTTGTTTCAAGTCTTTGGCTCGACTTTGCCCTTTCGGTTTACTCAATGTAGTCCGGGCGTTCCAAGTTATCAACCTCCATATCCTTCTTTTGGAAACCTTCATAAAAGACCTTCAATCTGTGACCATTAACTTTCAATATTTTATCAGTTTTGTTACTTTTGATCTCAACTACACCATGCTCAAATACATTAGTAACAATGAACGGTCCAACCCATCGGGACCGTAACTTACCGAAAAACCATTTAAGACGAGAGTCATAGATCAATACCTTTTGACCAATCTCAAAGGTCTTACGGGAGAGGTACTTATCATGGAATGCTTTGGTATTGTCTTTATAGATGTGTGCGCTCTCGAAGGTTTTATTTTGGAATTCCTCCAACTCTTGAAACTTTGCCTTTCGGAGAATACCCTTTTCATGGAACCCCATGTTCTTCTTTTCATCTATAAACTCCACATTTCCCAGCATCTCATTATCCAACTTGAACTTTTCTGGAATCTCCTTGACCAAATTTTTATCAAAGTTCCTACTTAAAGCCAACTCTAAAAAATCATGGTTAGTCAACTCAAAGCATTCTTTAGTCAAAGGCTGAACAATATCCACAAAATTTAAGGAGTGAACATCACTTGGGTACCTCTTCTCTTCAAAAACATTGAATTTAATGACCTCCCCATTAAATTTCATTGATAAAGTTTCATTTTATCCATTGTAGACATCCATTAAGTCAATCACTCTACTAGATAAATCATATGGTGTCATTGGGTGTAATTCACAATTCCATTCCAGTGGCCCAAAATGCAGGTCCCCATAAGTCCAAGCCTATAATTCCAAAATTAGGGTTTTCTAAACCCTAATTAGGGTTTCCAACCCAATCCCAATCCAATAGGCCTAAAAGCTAAGTCCTTAGATCCATTAGGGTTTTATTAGGCCCGTTAGGGTTTCGCTAGTCGGGGACCACCCACCACCACCTCGGGTAGTGGTGGTCAACGGCGGCTAACGGCTGCGGCCACCACCTCACGGTGGTGGTTAGGGTTTCTAGTCCATTTTTGTCCAAACATCCAAAAAGCAACTACACGCAAGCAAAAGCACACCGCCACCCAACACGACGGTTGGTGGCGGCAACCACCACCACATGGTGGTGGTTATGAGTTTATTTTCATTATTATAACCACTAATTACATTTTACAATGAAAATCTCAAATAACACACACTAAGCTAAACGCGCACACACAACCACCCTAGTGGTGGCCGGCGGTGGTAGATGGTAGGAGCCACCACCTCACAGTGGTGGTGGTGGCCTTTCCGACCAAATAAACCCAATCACACACCTCTCGTCTTATAGCAGCAACACATAACACACACACAACCCGAGTTGAACACGAAAAATGCACCCCATCGGCAATCTTGTGGCGACAGGCGGTGGCTTGCGATGGCAGCCACATGGCGGCGATGGTGGTGGTCGGAAAGCTGCAACCTTCAGAAAGAAGAGAGAGAGAGAGAGAGAGAGAGAGAGAAAGAAAGAGATAGTTGCAGACGCTACACATACACGGAGCATACACCACGCAGCCATTCACTTTCGGTGGTATACGCTAGCCGGAATAACTGGGCCACCGATCGGAGCGGCGGCGGCGCGAGACAACACCACAGAAGAGGAAACGGAGAGGGTGGGGGCGCCATTACTGGAGGGAGGAACGATGGCCACGAGCTTCCATCTTCCAGCAACCCTCAGCTCGTCGTCAATCAGCGCTTCACAGCGTCGTTGGCAGCGGACCGCGGCGACGATGCTGGACTCTCGATGGTTTACGATATCGACGGTGGAGGGAGCGGCGGCTAGAGACGAGGGGGGTATAAGGGTGGCGGCTGGAGTCAATTAGGGTTAGGGTTTTTAGATATGATGCTGGTGAGTGAGGAACACGGGTGAGGGGGTGACGGGTATTAGCCCCGCCTCCACCCATTCAAACATTTTCCATATTAACGCATCTAGTCCCTCAATCCCTCTTTCTTTTCGAATTAAGCCCATTATTTACCAACAACCCCTCCTCTTGTAAATTATTTTGCAATTATGGTCCAAATGTTACAAAATGGACTCCGACTTCCTGAAGTTATAACTTTTAGCTCCCTAACGCCAACCCTGATAAGTTACGAAGGATTTAGGGCTAAATAAAATAAAATATAAAATACATCTCGTGATCTTAGGGCTTGTTATTTATTTATTAATTTTATCTATTTATTTATTTACTAAAACGGGGTGTTACAACTCTCCCTCACTTAAATTAGATTTCGTCCTCGAAATCATTCCTTACACACCAAACCACTCCAGTAACATGGTCACCATCCTGGGCACACCCTAGCCTTTCCAGGGTAGCCGTGACCAATCTTCGCAACGCCCTAAAATCCGCAGATTAACGAATTCCTTGCAACAATCTCATTTGCTCAACCTGAAATCTGAATTCTCGAGATGGTCTGACTCCCTGACAGACCACCCATGCTGAGCTTTACCAAGCTTAATCTTCCTCGAGTGACCGACCATTGCACACTTTCTGCCTTGATTATCCCGACGCTACCATTAGAAACAAAACCATTGACCATAGTCAACAATAGAGCACTTATTCTTGACAGAAAGCTCAAATAATCCTTCGAGTAGAAGATCCATCCCTGCAACGATTAGACTCAGACGAGAGCTGCTCAACAGGATCAAATCGACTACTCTGAGATTATTTAATCCTACTGTGAGTGACTTAGAATAACCCAAACAATCTGTTATTCTGTCCGTACTTGCAACCCAAACCACAAAAACTATTGCTGCCCAAACGCTGAAACTGTCCGAACACTGAACTGCCTGAAGCAGCATGATGCCACATGGCTACTTTTGGAAAATGAAAGAGCGAAGATGTGAACTTTAAAAAAATAACTTTTTTATGAAAGTTGAACTTTACGTCTAATGAAATTGCCGTTTTTTTTTTTATTGTGTATTACACGATTTTTTTTGCTGCCCTTTTACTTTGACTATGGCTCCGCCACTGATTGTGATGTTTTTTTTAACAAACAATGTTTGAGTTTTTTTACTTTAAAAAAATTGTATGTGTAATATTGGAGTTTTTGCACCTTAAAAAACATTGTGTGTATAATGATAGTTTTATTTAAGATCTAAATTTTGATGTTTAAAATGATTTGTATAATTTGTATTAATAACGACATAATATTTATGTTAAACATATATTAAAAGTGAGTAAATAAAAAAAATAAAAGACTGATATTTAAAAAAAAAGGATATAAAAAATGAAATAGAATAAAAAGTAAATAGAAAAAATAAAAAAATAAAAAAAAACATTAAGAAAAGCCAAAAAAATATATGAAAAATGAAAAAATAAACATTAATTTGATAAATATTTTTCAAATTAAATAATTTGTTCAATAATCATATTTTCATCAAAAACTCATCTTAAATAAAACTCGAAAGCAATGCCTTTTCTTTTTGTTTTCCTTAAGGTTATCCAGAGTGGACATTAACCCACACATGAGTTTCCTATGTAGCACACATATGACACACTAACTCCACATGTGGCACTAACTCACTAGTGAACACCGCCCGGTGGACCGGCGGTTTGGCTGTGGAGTGGCTTGTAGTGGTTGTCAAGACATAGCAAGACGACCATTTTGATTGGTTCTCTCTTTTTTCCTCACATTTTCTCTCATTCTCTCCCTCATCCTTTTTGTCCCTTCACTACCAACCCACCGATGAATATCATTTCCACAACCTAGTGGGTTGGTTGTGGAATGGTAAAATACATGCTGAATTGGCTGATGATTTGACTGTGTGACTATGGATGAATGTGGGTCCAAACCCGGACCGGATGGACCCGGACCCGGAAAACTCGGAACCGGCTAACGAGATTTTGTAGAACCGGAAACCGGACTGGTATATAGGAACCGGTTCTGGTTCGGTTCTGGGTACGGTACCGGGTAAAGTGGGTCTAGAATCGGAAAACCCGGAAACATCAAAGTGGGTATGTTGGAACCGGATAAAGTGGGCTTAGAACTGGAAAAACTAGAATTTTTTTGTAATTACTTACTACTTAGTGGGTTGAACTTTTAAAATTTCCATATTGATATCCCGACTTTGGGGGACTGTAACTCATTGAATATGAAACCAAAATCGACAAAATTATAGTCTAAAATCATGTACAAACTCTAAACTACACTCTGGAAAAAACCGCATGTCAATCCGACTTTAAACAAATGAGATATGCATTTGTTAACATTTTCACATAATACAAAGTAAAAAACAAATAGCTGAAAAGTTGAAAATTTTCAGTTTTGATATCCCGACTTTGGGGGCTGTAAATCATTGAATATTAAACCAAAAATGACAAAATTATAGTCTAAACTCATGTACAAACTGTAAACTACAAGTTGGAAAAAACCACAAGTAAATATGACTTTAAACGGATTAGATATGCATGTTTTAAAACTTTCACAAAATACAAAAAAGCTGAAAAACTAAAAACTTTCAGCTTTGATATCTCGACTTTGGGGGACTGTAAGTCAATGAATATAAAACTAAAAATGACAAATTTATAGTCAAAAATCATGTACAAACTTTAAACTACATGTTGAAAAAACCGCATGTCAATTGGAGTTGAAACGAATGAGATATGAATCTTTTAAACGTTTCACAAAAACCGGTTCCGGCCCTAAAAGTGGTTCCTATTCCTAACACCGGTTCTGGTTTTTAGACCCGGTTTATCCGGACTCGATGTACCCAAACCCGGATTACCCGAAGCCCGGATAAAGCCAATTTTTAAACACGGAACCGGAACCGGTTCTGTATATTTCGGTTCCGGTTCCGGTCCGGTTTTGCGGTTCTAAATCTCATCCCTAAGTGTGACCACTCTCCACAACCTAAAATATTTAAATTTAAAGAACACAATTTTTTTTTCATTTAAAAATCGGAACCGTGTGCAAGTCTTGAAATGAGCGAAGAGAAAAGAGGAAACCGAACCCTACTTACATTCCCGCCTTTCTTCCACTGACCGTATTTCCCCCAAACTGTGAATCAAACCGGAGGACGACGAAGTTGAATCATGTGTGGCCGTTGTCGCTGTTCTATCCGTCCAGATGATATCCCTCGCTCTTGCAACCTCGGTAACCGCCGCGTTCGTTTCGTCGATACAGACCGGTAAGTCCATCTCCTCCCACACAACTCATCAACCTCCAACTTATGTGTTTACTCCTTGTTTATGTTTCCGAATTGATCTATCGCACTTTCCACTTCACCATCGGAGTATTTTTTTTTTGTTTGTTTTCTGGTGTTGTCATTTGTTACGCTATCGAACTCGTGTATTTTAATTTGTATATCTGGCTGTTATTTGATCTCTCTTTGTTACTAGCGGAATTTGAACCAGTTGAAGGATTGTTGTCGATTCATATTGCTTGATATCGTTTCTCCATCTCTTCTACTATCATATTCCGATTAAAGTTTCAAATTAGTGAGAGATTTATCCTTAAAGCTGTATGAATGCTGTGAAACTTGAAATTGATCTCGATATATTCATGTTGCTACACACTTTAGTTGTTATATGCAACGATCCCTTGTAAATTGATTTGTTTGAATTGAAATTTCAGGTATCGTCCAGCATATAATGTTTCCCCTGGATCAAACTTGCCTGTTATTCGAAGAGACACAGGAGCAAACAGTGAAGGAGCTGTTGTGCAGTGCATGAAATGGGGACTCATTCCAAGCTTCACTAAAAACACAGAAAAACCAGACTATTACAGGATGGTAATGTCACAAGTTTACAGTTAAAGTTGGAACTGGAATCTATGATTCTTTCCCTTTGCTTTTTACTTTCTTGAGATGAAAATGTTAGAGCCAAGTAGCATTCTTCAAATATAAATCGTATTTGCTGTTGTAAACAGTTTTCATATAGACTAATTGATCTTGTGTTTGCCAGTTCAATGCTCGTTCAGAGTCAATAGGTGAAAAGGCTTCATTTCGTCGTCTTCTTCCTGGAAATAGGTGTCTGGTTGTGGTGGAAGGGTAAGTTGTAACTCTTTGTAAAAAGCTGTATTTTTATGTTTTGTAGAAATGTTTTTCTCATATTCTCATTTACCATTTTTTCAGATTTTTTGAGTGGAAGAAAGATGGTGGGAAAAAACAGCCATACTATATTCATCTGAAGGATGATCGCCCCCTTGTCTTTGCTGCTCTTTATGATTCTTGGAAAAACTCTGAAGGTTTACCTTTCTTTAAAAAAATAGTATATGTTTTTTCTTCATTAATTCCAGAAAATAAATAAGGTTTACATGACTATTACAAAATTCTTAATGCTTTTATTTTGTGGTTCAGGGGAGATTCAATACACCTTTACTATTTTGACAACAAGTTCTTCATCAGCCTTTGGTTGCCTCCATGGTTAGTAATAGTGTAATGTAATACTATATACTTTTTTTTTCTCTCTAATATTCTAACTTTCTTTTCTGGGATTTGGTCTTCCTTTTTCCACCTACTGACACCTGTCCCAGTACATGTCATGCCATATTCTCTTTTTATGGGAATTTTTAAATTACGTATAGTTTAAAAATCTAACATCAAAATATTCTTACCAATTGTAGACAGGATGCCTGTTATTTTAGGGAACCAGGAGTCAACTAATGAGTGGCTAGATGGATCTTCATCTTCCAAGTTTGATTCATTACTCAAACCCTATGAAGAACCAGACTTGGTAATACTATTAATAATACAGATCTTGTTACATATTTTGATTAAAATAAATAAAAATTGTAGTTCTTTATATTTAATATTTTTGAGAATTCAGGTTTGGTACCCTGTGACACCAGCAATGGGCAAGCCTTCTTTTGATGGACCAGAATGTATAAAGGAGGTATGCTCTTTATACACATTCAAAATTGGCTAAACTTTTATTATTATTATTATTATTGTAAATTGTAATTACAAACTGTAGATTCTAGTGAAGGAAACAAAACCAATCTCAATGTTCTTTGCAAAGATGGGGACTAAAATTGAAAATCAATCAGAGCCTAAAGAGGTTGACAAAACAGAAAAACCAAGAAGTCCAAAACAGGAACCTGAAACAAAATCTGAGACTTTATATCTGAAACGTGAGTATGATGATGTGTCTTCATCTGATATAAAAGTAAAAGTAAAACCAACTGTTGATGAAGCTGACAAAAAGTTAACAAGCCCGGCTAAAAAGAAGGCCAACTTGAAGACCTCATCTGATAATCAGAAAACACTTTTCTCCTACTTTGGTAAAAATTAGTTTTTCATGTATAAATGGACTCGATACTTGATAGTTGTTGTAATCCTTATGTTGTAGGAATTCTTAACTTTTATTGGTGGTATGTCTGCTTTTGTTACACTGGACAAGACTGGACTGGACTGAAACAAACTTTCTCTGGCTACTTTTGGTTTTGAAAACGACGGTATTTATGTCTTTTGCCATTTTTGTTCTGTCGACATCGGTTTCAGTCTCTCGATACACAACAAACTCAGTACAATTTATTTTGTCTTGTCTTGTAAGATTTAAAAACAAGGCAATAGTTTCTATGCACAAAAATAGAGTATCTACATTCAAGTTAATTAAGTGGAGAAAAAAAGACTACTAAGAAACACGAAGAATTTGAGAAAAGTTAACAGAGAGGAAACAATTGGGGCTGAAGAATTGGTAATGTGGAATAATAGGCTTCCATGAACCTTCCTTCTGACACCATCTTCATGATGAACTTCTTCAAGATCAGAAATGGCCATGCCACAACCCGTGATCTTGACCGGAGCTTCCTCAGCTTATTTCCCAAGCGGATTGTGGTGCTCTTCCTCCTCCTCAGCCTGCGGTGTGGGCGGCAACACCTGGTCATGGTGGTGGAGTTGGCAAACACAGAAAATGTCATGGCTCCTGCTCCTGTTTTAAACACGTCTTGAGTTATATCACATCACATCTATCATTTGTTTCTGGTAGTTGGTATATATAGTGTTTCAATTTTTTTTTTTAATAAACTTTGATGGGTTCCGAAGCTTATTGATGAATGATCTTGGTGGTCCCCACGGAAATCAACATAATTAGTTAAATATAATTGGCTGATGAGATTATTAAACTATTAAACTAAAATCTAAACCACTGGCGGTAAAGTAAATTATGTACAGTGAACTGTACGGTATGTGTCTATTCAAAATACACTATTATGTTTGATTTGTTTTTTATTAAACATTTTTTACAACTTTTATTTCTTTTTTTACAAATTTTTAATGTTTTGAATTTAATTTTATAATCTGTTAGTATGGTAATAATCTTGTTTTCTATTGAAATGATATATATATATATATATATATATATATATATTATATATATATATATATATATATATATATATATATATATATAGGGATAATGACTTAAAAGCGTAATATATTATTCGATTTGTACACATTTGATCACTGAATTTTTTTTTTCGTCCACATTACCCCTTCCTTCAACTTGTTAAACTGTACACATTCAGTCCTTATGACCGGTTACTCCAGGTTAGCCGGGAAAATGACTTAATAGGGTAATATATTTCTCATTTTGTACACTTTTAGTCCTTAATATTTTTGTACATATTTAGTCCTTAATATTTTTTGTTTCAAAATAAGTAATTTTTGTTTTTGTACACATTCAATACTTATGAATGTTTTCTTTGAGTTTTTCTCACGACATCTTACGTGGGACAATCATTGATAAAGTGTGTGGGGCTGTTGATGTTTATGTGTAATGTCTCATTTTCACAAAAAAAAAAAAATCATTTTTAAATAAGGCAAAACTCCCTAATTATAAATCCATTATTAAGAAAAAAACGTTTATTCCAAAATACACTTATCGAAAATCAGAGTAATATAAGTAACGTGGAATCTTCAATATTGTTGATGAGTGTGTACACTCATGCATTCTCCTTCCCACGACCGACGATAGAACCTGAAAACATAAACAACTGGGTAAACACAAAGTTTAGTGAGTTTCCCCCAAAATACTCGATACAGCAAACGTATTATCATGCATAACGGACCCACACTCATCAAATTGGAATACCTTGGCCCAACCAGTCATCGGACTGGAACGCCAACATGCAACAGGTCCAATCAGTCATCAGACTGGAATACCCAGGGTTTGTTGGCATGTCGTCTTAACCCAACCGCTCTTCTCGAGTCTCCGTGCCTATAGCTTATAGTCGGCCCGCACCAAGTATCTTGGCCTACAGCATATAGCAAGACCACCTCAACCTATCCCACCACCATATGGCTATCCCACATAAGATGTCGTGAGAAAAACCTAAAAAATCATTCATAAGTACTGAATAAATACAAAAATAAAAATGACTTATTTTGCAAAAAAAAAAATTATTAAGGACTAAATGTGTACAAAAATATTAAGGACTAAATGTGTACAAAGTGAAAAATATATTACCCTATTAAGTCATTTTTACCGGCTAACCTGGAGTAGCCGGTCATAAGGACTAAATGTCTACAGTTTAACAAGTTGAAGGGGTAAATGTGGACGGAAAAAAAACTCAGTGACTAAATGTATACAAATCGAAAAATATATTACATTTTTAAGTCATTATCTCATATATATATATATATATATATATATATATATATATATATATATATATATAGTTAGTTAGTTTATTTTGTTTCTTACATTTATTGGGTGCTAGAATGCACCAATAGGAATTTAGTAAATTAAATAATTATTTAATTAAATAAATATAGATATTAAATGATTTCCATAATTATATGTATATTAAATGATATCCATAATTATAATTCTCTTTTTATGGAAACTAATTAAATCTGTCATTAATGTCAGCAATAACATTCTTTCAGAATGAATTCGCATCTAGGTTTTTATATATGAGTTCGTATTTTGTTTCAGGACTAGAATACACTCTCATTCTTCTGGAATACACTTTTATTCTTCTAGTTATGAATTCATTCTGAAAGAATATTATTGTTGACATTAATGACGAATTTAATTGGTTTCCATAAAAATGAGTTATAAGTATGGATAACATTTAATATACATATAATTAATACTAAAATCCTATTGGTGCATTTTAGCACACAATAGATGTGAGAAACATTTGAACCTACCTCTCTATATATATATATATATATATATATATATATATATATATAGTAATGAACAGATTCTATTAAAAGGAAATAATCTTTTATACGTATATATTTAGAGGTGGGAGAGCAATGAATCAATCAATGGCGGAGTTAGTAGGGGGCTGTCGGATGCTTGGCCCCCCTCAACGATTTTAACTAAATGGTGTAAACTTTGTATATATTAATAATATAGTTACCAAGCCCACATGGAATGTATGTATAGACATTATAACCCCCTGTATTTTTATTTATATTCAATGTGCATCCTATAATTCTCTTATATGACTTAAAAGTTTTACTAATGATTTAACTTTTACTTATTTATTACCCCACTCCCATAAATTCCCATAAATACATGATCCTATTCAATTAGAAATCAACGATAGCATCTTCGCTACAGTTTCCATTTCAAGTCTACATTAATAATGTTATTTTTAATTGTTATTTTATTTTTAATAATTTCTTAATTTATAATTAATTATATTATTACGATTGGAAGTTTGATTTTTTTATAATCATATAGTAAATCATTAGTAAAAAATCATATTATCCAACATCATCTTTTCAAACGAATTGAAAAGATGATGTTGGATAATATGAATCAATGTTTATAGTCGATTAAATTTTGAAGATCGATTAATATAATGATCGATGTAGATTTTATATAGATGAGTTTTTCCTTGTTGATTTCTATTTTAAAATTTTAGACCCTATGACTTTATTCAGGTATAATATTATATTTTAATATGTTATTATGATGTAAGACTCTCGGCCCCTTATTCATAAATTCTGGCTCCGCCCCTGCTAGCAATGATTATATATGGAAGGGAGGTGTGTTGCTTTAAGCCTTTATATGCAAAAATATGACTTATTAACAAGTGGTTAATTTTGTTCCAATCATTAACAACTATTTTTTATTTAATTTTTGATAAAGTTGCATCCAATCTAATTTATGGCATTAAACTTTACGCGGGAGACAGCGAGATGACTATTGATACACATGAAGAGTTCTTAAGAGTTGTTTTCAGTATACGTAATAACACCTAATTTTGACAGCAAGATGACCATCGACATACATGAAGAGTTCTCACGTGTGGTTTTTAGTTATTTTTTATTTTTATTGGGTAAAATAAAATACATCGTTTAAAAAACCAATGAATCGAAGAGCCATTATGATGCATATACACACGAACTTTCTTTCTTATTGAGGAGTAGATCTAAAAAAATTCAAGATGAGGATAAAAAAAATTACGTTGTCGGCGATTTGTTAATATATAATTTGGATCAAACGAGTTTTCTGAATTACTCCATTATTTTTTTATTGAGTTTTAAAACGCTTATACGAATTTCAGTATCAAGCCTTTATACTTGTGTAGACACAAAGACATCAATTAAAATTAAAAAAAGGACTTTCTATGTACGGCAAGAATTGAACTCATAAAAATATTGACGTATATGTTGCAAGAATTGAATCCATAAAATTAATATCCGTAAATCAACGACACCACATTTAAAGCATCAACAGTATGGTATGTACGTCAAGAACTAAACCCATAAAAATATTAAGTATATGTTGCAAGAGCCGAATCCATAATTCTCTTTTTATTTATTAATCAACAATGACATCACATTTAAAAAAAATATATTTAAGTATATTTTGCAAAAGCCGAATCCATAATTTTCATTTATTTATTAATCAACAATGACATCACATTTAAAATTTCAACATATGATACCTTTTCAATAAGATTTTTAATTTCAAAATATGGTACCTTTTCAATAAGTTTTTTTTGATGTCATGCCATATCAACAAATCTAAAACCGTAACACGACTTCCAACATAAGAAATCTTTTTCAAAAACTTTATTTAAGGTCCTAATTAGATCGACTTTTGGTATCCGAGCAGGTGTTGGGAGTTTGCAATAAAATAAAAGCCTCGATGTTTTGTCAACTCACGACAGACCACTTTAATAATTTCATTATAGAGATGCAGTTGATTGATGCTCACATTAGCGGTTTTAATTTCACTGGAAGCAATAGAAATGGTGAGAAAATGAGTAAACTAGATCGATTTTTGGTATCCAAGTGTTGGAGCCTTGGAGGGTTTTCAGGATTTATTGGTCAGTGCAGTGGATCGTTCAATTCATATCATCGTCCAATATTAATGAAACATGAGTGTTTTGATTATGGACTGTGACCCTTCAAGATGTTTGATTCTTGGCTTGACCATGGTGAGAACCTCTTGGATCGAATATGAATACAACCATGGTTCTAAAAAACGCGTCATGGCGCGCCTCAAGGCGTGCCATGGCGCGAGGTGTGGTGTAGCCGTTATGAAAACGTCCAAGGCGGGTTTGTTAAGCGTGACGTCCAAATAACATGTCAAGACGCGCCTTATCGCGATATGGCGCGAGTTTTTTTCAAGGCGCGAGTTTTTTTGTTTTTTTTTTGATTTATTTTATCTGGCCTAAAATAATTGAGTTTTTGTTAACTTTTTATATTAAATACTAATATAACACTTCTAAAAACTTGATATACTTGATAAAAATCAATAATTATATGATTTATCTCTTTTAATATATATAAAATAGTCACGCCTTGAAAAACGTCATGACTCGCCAAAACTTGTCATGACTTAACTTTTACCTTGCCGCCAAGCCACGCCTCACGTTATTTAGAACCTTGAATACAACACATGAGCTAACCATTTTATTTCTTTTAAGAAAAAATTAAAGTTCCTAAAGTCTAAAATTAAAGATTGGCATATGATGAAC